CAATCCTCAGTGCGCACTGTTAATAGATCAGCGTGCATGGTTTTTTTTGCGGATGAAACAAGTTTGCACACGTTTTTACACATGCAAACCTTAAGTAGATCAACTCCAAATTGTATCTAAGGTAGTGAGTGAGTGAAAATTACATGTGATCCAAATATACAGTATGCATATTCACATAATTTTGTTTTTTTTAATTTCTGTGTCATACTAATGCATTTGACCCAACTGATCAATTTTTGGGATACAACATATACCTTATATTCAAAAACCTGCGTCTTCTTCTAATATTACACGCACAAAGTGTGAGAAAAAGAAAAGAGAGCGCGCAAAAAACTATCAAGTGAATAATAAAACATTTATTAAATGTATTTTTCCTAATGTTTAACTGATATTTAGCTGTTTATTATAGCTGAACTCCTAGAGGGCCCCTTTGCAGGTCTGAAGGATCCATTTTAATTTAGGCAAAACGTGGCATCAAAGTTACACAGGATTAGTTGTTCAGTGAAGAGACTGGTTGTGTTAGTGTGAGTTTGAATTGCACCCAGTGCAAAGCTGGTTGTGTGTTCAGCAGGAGGTTGGAGAGGTTCTTTGAAGAGAAACAGGAAGTCATTCTGTCTTTTTGTTTTCTTTTTGCACTTGATGTCTCAAACTCTAGTGGGCACTTTTTGTGTGACATTATTACTCTCTCTCTGTCTCTCTCGCTCTCTCTCGCTCTCTGTCTCTCTCTCTCTCTCTGTCTCTCTCTGTGTGTGTGCTCGTGTGCTTGTGTGTGCATGATTTAGAAAAAGAAAAAAAACACATTGTATTTTTAGTATTTTGGTATTTGATAGTGTTTGTGTATGTTGTTTTGGGGATGTGTAAATGTGTGTGGACCCAGTTTGTCTGTTCTTTGTTTTGGGTGGGTCTGTGTTTATTGACTGCCACTCTTTGTCTCAGGGAGCTCAGATTGCAGGCTTTATTTCAGGCAGAGCAGGAATGTCCTCCACTATTCTGGTAGTGACTGACAGACTGACTGAGGCTACATTCATACTACTACGTAAATAGGCGTTCTCAAACGAAAAAAATATATCTTTCCACACAAGCATTTTGGCTCTAGATCAGTTTTCATCCTCATCCATACGAACGTGCCTGCAAATGCATATGACATGACCACCCACATACACTGGACAAGTGCGTACTGGCGTAAACAGGAAGGCAAGCGCGTCCTGCTCTAGTCCTGCTGGACACAGGAAGTGGTGTAGATTGCTCGAACAATATCTTGTCTCCTACGCATGTAAACAGTTGTATAGTTAAATATCAAATTTAACTGCTCAACAGCTGTTGAAGACAACAGGATCAGCAACACTAATTATCCATGTTGCCTTCTACACTGGTAGCCAAGGCTTATCCCAGTTGTTTTTATAGAGAATAAAAGAATATGTGTGTGTTTCCTTCTAAATGATCCTACCACTGATGTGTTGTAGCACATGGTTGATATGGGTGTGGCAGTGGCTGCAATGTTGGTATCTAATTTAGAAGATATGAGGAAGTAAACCCTCATAGTCGAAGGTTAAACAGTAACTCTGACTGTAGCTGCCTGGTGATTTGATTTAAAGTCTAAAGTTGCTGTTTATAATATTCTGAATATTATAGGGTTGTTGACTTGACACAGAGCGTACTGACGTGCAAAAAGAACAGAATCAGTCGGTCAATAGAGGAGTGGGCGGATTGGTGTCCTGGGGGATCTCCTCTCTGATCTGGGTCAGGGCATCAGTGAGCTCCTGAACAGTCTGTGGTGGGACTTGGTGGCGTTTCTTGCACCAATACATAACGTCCTATAGTTGCTCTATTGCATTTTAGGTCAGGGGAACGTGAGGGCCAGCAATTGTCATCAATGCCTTCATCATCCAGGACCTGCCTACACACTCTGGCCACATGAGGCCTGCACCAGGAGGAACCCAGGGCCCATTGTACTAGAATAAGGTCTGACAATCGCTCTGAGGATTTCATCCCGGTACCTAACAGCAGTGCTCGGGCACAGCTCCTCCTGTACCTCCTCGTACAAAGGAGCAAATGCTGGTCCAGCTGCTGGGTTGACAGCCCCCTACAGCCCTGTCCAGCTCTCCTTGTGTGATGGCCGGTCTCCTGGTATCTCTTAATGCACTTGAGATTGTAGTGGGTGACACAGCAAACCTTGCGACCGCACATATGGATGTGCCTCCCTGGAGGAGCTAGAATACCTGTGCAACCTGATCGGGCTGCAGATACAGCCTCATGCTACCAGTAGTGACAAGGACACCAGCAGAACACCAGACTAGATAAGAATCAGTTAGGAAGGATAGGGAGAGAGCAACGCTCTGGCCACACACACAGCTTTTTGGGTGTTGTCTTGCTTTCACCTCTTCATTGCACCTGTTGTCACTTTCATTTGCACCAAAGCAGGTGAAATTGATTCACAATCACTTGTGCTTCCTAAATGTACAGATTGATATCCCTGCAGTTTAACTGACTTGTTGTTATACTGTAAGTGTTCCTTTCATTTATTTGAGGAGTGTATATTAGTAATACAAATACAGCAAGGACCATGCTTACGCTGGGTGGTAACCCAAACACTGAACAGCATCAGCTTTATTTCAGAAATGTATTGTTTTATACAGTTTTAGCTTAAATATCTTAAATTTTGTTTTATTATTGGCAATGCACTGAAACATGGAACTGGATTTCTTTTGGTCCAAATAAATAATAAAATGTAATAACATGGTCTAAAAAACACTGTGTTTCTTCTATTTTACTTTAAATCAGTATGTGACATACAACTTAGACCACCTAGACTTTTTGTAGTAAAACAAAAAAGCTGTAGTTAATTAATTGTATCATTGTCAAAAATATACCAGTATCTGTTTTTCATGAATGGTCCACGTGACTGTTTAGCTCATTGGACTGTTGCCCGCCTCACTCCTCCCCTCCCCTGTTCTCCTTCCTCCTCCTCGTCCTCTTCATTCTGCTCAATCTGTCTTGACTCCTCCTCCACCTCCACCTCCTGCGGTCTGTATTTATGTATTCAGACACGTTTACATTTGAACGTCTGAATTACATTTCACTACCAGAAGTTACCAGTGCATGTGTGTACAGGTCTGTCTCAGTAAATGAGGAAAAAAATGATATCCTGAGGGAAAAAAGGCTCCAAAACGTTCACATTGTGTTTTCTATGAATTCTTGATAGGTTGTTTTGGTGTAAAAAGTTGACTTGAGATTATCAAACTGCATTGGGTCAGTTGCAGAGAGGGAAGGCTTTTCTCTCTTTCTCTGTGTTAAATTATTCAGCTGCAGCATTAGCTCAGTAGCAGCCTGTGTTTAGGACTGATGTGATCAGTGGTCTGTGTTGGAGGATCTCTCTCTCTCTCTCTCTCTCTCTCTCTCTCTCTCTCTCT